CTACTATCTCTGCAGAAATGCATTGCAAATGGATGATGCAATCAATCTTAATTAGAAATGGGGCAACTAGACTGCAGCAGCTTAGGAAAGAAATAAAAGTGATCAGCAGTCTAGAAAAATATGAATAAGTGGGGAACAAGCCATTTGCTATTTCAAATAATAACATAAATAAGGCATATATGATGACTGCAGGAACAAAGCAAAACACAGAGTAGTGGTGTGTGTGTGTATACACACACACTGCGTACACACACACTGCCACATCTGAATTTGCCATAATTTTGTTTTTGAGTCACTCCTGTTACACTCAACTTTTACAAGGAAAAGGAGGAGAGGAGATGCTCAAAGTGGAACCTCCAAAACTAGAAAATTACAGCTGGCAAGTCTACTAAAATCAAATTTGCTGGAATGTATACACATTTGCTAAAATATATACCCCTGGTGGCACAGCGGATTTAACTGCTGAGCTGCTGAACTTGCTGACCGAAAGGTTGGCAGTTTGAATCCAGGGAGTGAGGTGAGCTCCCGCTGTTAGACCCAGTTTCTGCCAACCTACCAGTTCGAAAACATGCAAGTGTGAGTAGATCAACATGTAGTACTCCGGCAGGAAGATAAGGGTGCTCCATGCAGTCATGCAGGCCATTTGACCTTAGGGGCATCTATGGACAAAGCCGGCTCTTCAGCTTAGAAATAGAGATGAGCACCAACCCCCAGAGTCAGAAGACTGGACTTAATATTAAGGGAAAACCTCTACATTTACTATACACATTGGGAATAGAGGGACTGAAGAGCAGCACCCTCTGAAAGGGTCTGGGAATATGAGACGCAATATTGACAGTGACAAATAACAACCCTTGATCCTGAACCTCACACACTTTCAAGGACTATACCAGATCCAAACACCAAAAGGACTCCTATACTTTCAAGATATCAGTGGCAGGCCCTCCATTCATTGTATTCAGAAATAGGAAAGATGCATTCCTCCAGATATTGTTGAAGTGCAACTTGGCTAGCCGCACTACTCAAGATAACCAAATATATAAAGAAATGTATAAAGCATGCTGGGAGTCCCAAGTCCAATATCAACTGGAGGGCTGCATGATTCCCATTCTTAAGAATGACACAATGTAACATGATTTGTGTTCCTGGGTTATAAATGTCATTTCTTAATTGGATCTATCATAAAAACAAGGGAAAGTTATAGTGCAAAAACTTTGTTTCTCTGGGTCATCCTGCAGCACATTTGGCTATAGTTTTTCAATAACTATCTCATAGTCTTAACCAATTCAACATAGATTGTGACAGCCACAAAAACAAAGTTTCTCAATATGCCCAAATGTGAACACTGGTCAAGTTTGGGGAAAATAGACTTTTGACATTTGGGAGTTTAAGTTTACTGCTTTGGGCTCTCAACCCTTTGCAGCTCCTTCCTTGGGCTCCCAATCTTAAACAGATAACACTTTGGGGTCCTAACCCCAGTTTCTTCCTTGGGGGTCCCATTCCTATCAAGCTTATTCCTTTGGGATTTATAGTTCACCTATAATCAAAGAGCACTCTGAACCCAGCCCACAATGGATCTGCACCAAAGTTGGCACACTACCTACATGGACAGCATTGAATGCTGGTGGGGTTTGGGGGGGGGGCTGTTTTTGAATTCTGGGCGTTGTAGTTCACCAATACCAAGGACAGGCTGAAAGATCTTCATCCTTCTCAGCCAAAAGGGTTCCTAAGATCACCAGAAATATATGTTTACTGATGTTCTTTGGCAGGTTGAGATACACTGTTGTAAATCGATAAAGAAACCCAGGACAGTGAAAATGATTTGCTCCACGTTATCTTTTCTGACTGCCACTCCATGGTCATACAAAAGTTACTTGGTTTTGGGGACAGATCAGAAACCAGGCCTCTTGGGTATAAATCAAACACCACTTGAACCTCACACTACTCCAGGGACCTGTTGCTAGAGCCAGGGCTTTAACCCAGAAATCTGCTAAACAGATGGTATCGCAAGGGTCGAAAACAAACAGATTAGGCAGAATTCAGAGGTTTTACATAAGCATGCCTCCTACATATTCACGGAAGGTAAAGACATGGCAGGCATTCCTCATCAGAAACTACAGCGAGAGTCTTATTTCCTCTTGCCGAGGTGTGCCGGAAGGCATTTTCGCACTTCCATATCCTCTATGAGAAGTGGGTTCCTCTAGAATAATCTCCTTGTCCTATCTTAAGTCTAAATAATGAAAAACGGCATTAAAAATCCCCAATTTGTTTTGCTGCAACAGATTAACACAGCTATACACATACATATTCACAAGTGAATGCTGATCTAACAAACCAGAAAGTTAGCATTTACTTGGCCTAACAAAGGTTGTTAAACAGTTAGTTAGGTTCGGCCTTGAATAGCTTGAGGCCTTGCCAAAGTTTTCTTGGGCTCTTAGTTCCTTGGGCCAAGAAAACCTTGGGCAAAGTCATAACCTTTTAAAGACTGCAACAACTAGAGTTTACCAAAGGAGTAAACTGCTATACATTGGGCTGATAAAAGATGAGAAAATGCTAATCTGCTTGGTTGTATTTGTGTGTAGGTGCATAGCAACTTACTCCGGTGTATCCTAGTCCTATACCTCTGACCTTTTTCATCCCAATCTACACAGTTTACTCCTTGGCATCCCAGTCCTTTGCATTCCCTACTTCAGGTAACAAACCGTATACAGTTTGGGTTGCTGTGAGTTTTTCTGGCCGTATGGCCATGTTCCAGAAGCATTCTCTCCTGACATTTCACCCACATCTATGGCCGGCATCTTCAGAGGTTGAGAGGTATATTAGAAACTAGACAAGGGTGGTTCAACAGATATATGTCTCCCTTATCTAGTTTCCAATATACCTCACAACCCCTGAAAATGCCTGCCATAGGTGTGGGTGAAACTTCAAGAGAGAATGCTTCTGGAACATGGCCACACGGCCCAGAAAACTCCCAGCAACCCAGTGATTCTAACCATGAAAGCCTTCAACAACACCCATACAATTTATCTTCTGGGCCCAATCCTACTCATTTTACTCCCTTGGATCCCAATCCAGTACATTCTATAGCAGTTTACCTTTTGGATCCCATTCCTATACAGTTTACTCTTTTGGATCCCAGTCCCATACATTGTACTCTTTGGGTTCCAACCCTACAAAGTTTATGCTTTAGGGTCCAAGCCCTACATTTACTCCTTTGAGTCCTTTACAGGTCTTTTCTTTGGGTCCCAACTCAACCCTTTGGATCCAATCTCACACACTTTGGATTCCACTTCTACACAGTTTACACTCTTGGATCCCAAAGCCCACACAATTCACTCTTTTCAAACACAACCCTGTGCAGTTTTCACCCTTTGTTAAGGAATTGCTTAACAACAACAACAACAACAAAAGACACAAAAACAAAGAAAACACATAGGGTATATCTGGCTATTGCCAGTACTACTGTGTAATGCCCACTAATCAATGGGGTGCAACACCCAAGTAAAACTCAGTCTCCCCTGCTTTAGTGCAACAATTTCAGCTTTCAGTCCTGGGCCCCTAAAGCTTACTCTTTTGGGCTCCCTTTGGGCTCCCATTCCTATGCAGCTCCTTCCTAGGGCTCCCAAACTTAAACAGGTAACACTTTGGAGTCCTAACCCTATGCAGTTTCTTCCTTGGGGCTCCCATTCCTATCAAGCTTTTTCCTTTGGGCTCCCAATCTTAAAGCCTACTGCTTTGGGCTCCCAGCCCTATGCAGCTCCTTCCTTGGGATTGCTATAAAGTTTACCTCTTTGGGCTCCCCACCTCACACTGAACACTTTGGAGGCCCATTCCTACCTACAGTTTCTTCCTTGGGCTCCCAACCTTAAACAGGTAACACTTCGGGGTCCTAACCCTTGGGGTTCCCATTACTATAAAGCTTACTCCTTTGGGCTCCCAGTCTTAAACCTACCAGTATTAAAGCTCCCTTGGGCTCCCAATCTTGAAGCTTACTCCTTTGGTGTCCCAGCCCTATGCAGCTCCTTCCTTGGGCTCCCATCTTAAGCAGGCGACACTTTGAGGGTCCCAGTCCTATGCAGTTTCTTCCTTGGGATTCCCATTACTATAAAGCTTACTCCTATGGGCTCCCAGTCTTAAAGCTCCCCATCTTAAAGCTCCTTTGGGCTCCCAACCTTAAAAGCTTACTGTTTTGGGCTCTCTTTGGGGTCCCAGCCCTATGGAGCTCCTTCCTTGGGCTCCCATCTTAAACAGGTAACACTTTGGGGGCCCCAGCCCTATGCAGTTTCTTCCTTAGTGCTCCCAGTCTTAAACCTCCCCGTCTTAAAACTCATTTGGGTTCCCATTTCTACAAAGCTTACTCCTTTGGACTCCCCGTCTTAAAGCTCACGGCTTTGGGCTCTCTTTGGCGACCCAACCCTATGCATCTCCTTCCTAGGACTCCCATCTTAAACAGGTAACACTTTGGGGGTCCCAACTCTATGCAGTTTCTTCCTTGGGGGTCCTATTGCTACAAAGTTTACCTCTTTGGGCTCCCCGTCTTAAAGCTTCCCGTCTTAAAGCTCCTAATCTTAAAGCTTACTCCTTTGGGCTCCCAGTCCTATGCAGTTCCTTCCTTGGGCTCCCAATCTTAAACAGGTAATACTTCGGGGGTCCCGGCCCTATGCAGTTTCTTCCTTGGGGGTCCTATTGCTATAAAGTGTACCTCTTTGGGCTCCCCGCCTCACACTGAACACTTTGGAGGCCCATCCCTACCTACAGTTTTTTTTTCCTGGGCACTCAACCTTAAACAAGTAACACTTCGGGGTCCGAACCCAATGTAGTTCAATCCTTGGGGGTCCCATTCCTATATCTCAGGCATGGGTCAACATGGGCCCTCCCCTCCCGGTGTTTTGGATTACCGGCAGTTAGGAATTGTGGGAGTTGAAGTCCAAAACACCCGGAGGGAGGGAGGGCCCAGGTTGGCCCCTGCCTGCTCCACAAGGTATTCCTTGGGCTCTCACCTGGGCGTCCTCCTCCCCTCCTCCGCCTCCGCCGCCGCCTTCCTGGGCCCCTTCCCGGGAGGCGCCCTCTTCGCTGGGGCTGGGGCTCCCGTGGCTGTGGGGGCTGCTTGGGGGGCTGCTGCTGACGCTGGTGCCGGTGCTGCTGGCGCTGCTTCCCGCGGGGCTGCTGGGGCTGCAGGAGGGCTGGGGCCCATAGCCTGGAGAGGAGGAGGAGGCTGCTGCTGCTGTTCCTGCGCCGTCGGGGCCCACCATGTAGTAGTAGCGGGCCCCATCGTTGGGCTGCCCGTACTGCGCCTCCAGCCTGACCTCAGGGCCCTTGGCTTCCCCGGCCAAAGGCGGGGGACCCCCGTAGGGACTCAGGGCCACCCCGGCAGGGTGCGTCCAAGCCTCCCCTCCGGCTGAGAAGGAGAAGAAGTTCCGGGGCGCCTCGCCTCCACCTGGAGGGACCTCCAAGAGCCCGCTTTGGGGCCCGTAGTCTGGCTTGAACCCGTTGTAAGCCTCGGGCACAAAGGGAGGCCCCGGTTCTGAATGAGGCCCCATTGGGAGGTGGTTGAGACGGCTTTGGACCGGGAAAGAGTAGCCCGGGTGGCCCGCCATGGCCGAGGAAGGATGGAGATGTCGAGTTGGAAGCTCAAAGGCCTGAATTGAGAGTCCGAAACACCTTGGAGACTTGAAGAGAAAGTCCAAAACTCCTCCTGGACTTGGGAAGAGAGTCTAACACATGGTTTGGACTTGAGGAGAGTCTTGAATGGGAAGAGACTTCCCCAAACAAGACAGACAGAAAGCAAGGCCAAGCTTCTCCTGACCTCTTCCTCACTTCCAAGTTCTCCAACTTCAGCCTTCTTCTCTCCAGCAGCCCCCCAACACTCAATCCCTAGAAGAGCTCACCTTAAGTCTTTCAGGCTCTGGTCAATGGCAGGGTCAAGCCTAGGTGTGGAAGAAGAAGGCCTTTTCTTTGCTCTTGGCAGGTGGCTTCAGGAGGTGAAGCAGGGCATCCCAGGCTTAGAAGGAAAGGAAGAAAGGCCTCCTCCCAGCTGGACCAGGGGGCTCTTGAAGCCATCCTGAGGCCGGCCCACCCTCCCACTTAAAGGGGCACGGCTCCTCCTCCTTCCCAGGTACAGGCCCAAGAGGAAGGAAGGAGGGAGGAAGGGAGGGGGCTTTGAGGAGGCCCTCCCATCCAATTCTGGGGTTCCTGCCCTTCAGCTTCTCCCAGCCCCCTCTAGGCTTCAAAGCCCAGTCAAGGTTGGGTTTTTTAGTTTTTTTCCAGAATAGGCCTTCTTTGTGTTGTCCAAGGCTTTCATGGCCGGAATCACTGGGTTGCTCTCACCTCTGCAGGAGTCTACTGTATACCTCACTTACTTAACAAAATGAAGTTCAACAGGGATAAGTGCAAGATACTCCACTTTGGCAGGAAAAACGAAATGCAAAGATACAGAATGGGGGACAATGCCTGGCTCGAGAGCAGTACGTGTGAAAAAGATCTTGGAGTCCTCGTGGACAACAAGTTAAACATGAGCCAACAATGTGATGTGGTGGCAAAAAAAAAAAGCCAATGGGATTTTGGCCTGCATCAATAGGAGCATAGTGTCTAGATCTAGGGAAGTAATGCTACCCCTCTATTCTGTTTTGGTTAGACCACACCTGGAATATTGTGTCCAATTCTGGGCACCACAATTCAAGAGAAATATTGACAAGCTGGAATGTGTCCAGAGGAGAGCGACTAAAATGATAAAGGTCTGGAGAACAAGCCCTATGAGGAGCGGCTTAAGGAGCTGGGCATGTTTAGCCTGAAGAAGAGAAGGCTGAGAGGGGATATGATAGCCATGTATAAATATGTGAGAGGAAGTCACAGGGAGGAGGGAGCAAGCTTGTTTTCTGCTTCCCTGGAGACTAGGACGCGGAACAATGGCTTCAAACTACAAGAGAGGAGATTCCATCTGAACATGCGGAAGAACTTCCTGACTGTGAGAGCCGTTCAGCAGTGGAACTCTCTGCCCCGGAGTGTGGTGGAGGCTCCTTCTTTGGAAGCTTTTAAACAGAGGCTGGATGGCCATCTGTCAGGGGTGATTTGAATGCAATATTCCTGCTTCTTGGCAGGGGGTTGGACTGGATGGCCCATGAGGTCTCTTCCAACTCTTTGATTCTATGATTCTAATTCAACAGAAAGCAAAAAACCATGAAAAGGAACAAAATCTGGCTACTAGAATTAAAATATTCTAAAATCAGCATAGTAAATAAAGAGCAATACTCTGAAAACGGGAATTCCAGACAGGAAACAATCAGGGCCAGCTAACATCTCCCAAAAAAGGATTCCCCCATAGAATCATAGAGTTGGAAGAGACCTCGTGGGCCATCCAGTCCATTCCCCTGGCATGACGCAGAAAAATCGCCTTAAAGCACCCCCAATAGACATCCAGCATCTGTTTAAAAGCCTTCAAAGTAGGAGCCCCCACCACACTCCATGGCAGAGAGCTCCACTGCTGAACAGCTCTCCCTTTCCTAATGTTCAGGTGGAATCTCCTTTCCTGTACTTTGAAGCCATTGCTCTGCGTCCTAGTCTCTCGGGCAGCAGAAAACAAGCTTGCTCTCTCCTCCCTATGACTTCCCCTCATATCTTGATACATGGCCCTCATAAGGTCTCCTCTCAGAATTTTCTTATGCAGGCTAAATATGCCCAGCTCTTTAAGCCACTCCTCATAGGGCTTGTTCTCCAGTCCCTTGATCATTTGAGTTGCTCTCCTCTGGACACATTCCAGCTTGTCCACATCTCCCTTCAATTGCTTTCTGTAAGCCCTCCTGAGTCCCTCTTCGGAGGTGAGAAAGATGGGATATAAATGCCCAAAATAAATAAATTGTGGAGCCCAGAATTGGATAAAGTGTGATTCCAGGTGTGGTGTGACCAAGGCAGAATAGAGGGGTAGCATGGCTTCCCTGGATCTAGACCAGGGGTCCTCAAACTTTTTAAACAGAGGGCCAGGTCACAGTCCCTCAAACTGTTGGAGGGCCGGATTATAACTTGAAGAAAACATGAATGAATTCCTACTCACACTGCACATATCTTATTTGTAGTGCAAAAGACACTTACAAACAATTTATTTATTTATTTGATACACTTGTATACCGCTAATATCTCAGCCTAGAACGGCGACTCATTGCGGTTTACAGCAGTTAAAACAATCTACAATTTAAAAACATATACACATATAATAACAAATTCAATAACAAATTATTGGGCCACCAATAATAATCCCATATATCTCGAGTTGAAATCGCAATCCAGAATTCGTTGTCCATGTTTCCTGTCCTTAGTCATCAATATTCGAATTGCCACAGATTAGCCGAATGCTTGTTTGAACAGCCATGTTTTGAGTCTCTTCCTAAACACCATCAGCGAAGAGGCTGATCGTACCTCTATAGGGAGGGTGTTCCAAAGCCGGGGGGCCACCACAGAGAAGGCCCTATCTCTCGTTCCCGCCAGCCGCACTTCTGAAGCTGGAGGGATAGAGAGAAGGGACTCTCCGGAAGATCTTAGGGTCCTGGTGGGCTGATAGGCTGAGATACGTTCGGATAGATAAGTTGGGCCAGAACCGTTTAGGGCTTTAAAGGCCAATGCCAGCACTTTGAATTGAGCCCGGTAGCATATCGGCAGCCAGTGGAGCTGGTTCAGCAAGGGAGTTGTATGCTCCCTGCACCCCGCTCCTGTTAGAATCATGGCTGCCGCCCGTTGGACTAACTGGAGCTTCCGGACTGTCTTCAAAGGCAACCCCACGTAGAGAGCGTTGCAGTAATCAAGGCGGGATGTAACCAGAGCGTGGACTACCGTGGCTAAGTCAGACTTCCCAAGGTACGGTCGCAGTTGGCGCACAAGTTTTAACTGTGCGAAGGCTCCCCTGGTCACCGCCGAAACCTGGGGTTCCAGGCTCAGCGATGAATCCAGGATCACCCCCAAACTGCGAACAATGCAATAATTATAAGGAAGAACAATTTTAACAAATATAAATTTATTAGTATTTCAGTGGGAAGTGTCGTCCTACTTTTGGGTGATGAGATAGGATTGTTGTTGTTATTGTGTGCTTTCACGTTGTTTCAGAATTAGGTTGATCCTGAGCTAGGGCCGGGTAAATGACCTTGGAGGGCCGCATCCGGCCCCCGGGCCTTAGTTTGAGGACCCCTGATCTAGACACTAGACCCCAGGCAGGAAGCAGCCAGGCTTTGAAACTGCAAGGCTATTCAATGCTAATCAAGGTGATTAATGGAAACATACACACTTGCCTCCAACAGACAAGAGTTCTTTCTTCCACCCTGGATATTATTCCACAGATATTTAAACCTCACTTGTTTCATTTCCAACAGATCTCACAACTTCTGAGGATACCTGCCATAAATATGGGTGAAACATCAGGAGAGAATGCTTTTTGAACATAGCCCTCCAGCCTGGAAAACTCACAGCAACCCAGAGGCCTTCTTTGCCTCATCTTCCCCTCCTCCCAGACCTCAAAGCCATGGCCCATCAGCTCAGCAGGGCCAAAGCCTCAGGCCTGGGGGAGGCCCATTGAGGCTTAGACAATAGCTCAGGCAGACCTTCCCTGGGGGGAAAGGAAGGAGGCTGGAGATGTTGTGTGTGATGGCAGAGTGGGATTTGGGCATTGTGGGAGGTGGGGAAGCTTTGAGCCAGTCTTGAAGGGCTTCAAAGCCAAAGGGGGGAAGCGAGGGAGGAGACCCGAAAAACTCCAAAGAGCTGGGACCAGATTCCCTGATGAATGGGAGTGTTTGTGTGGATCCCTCCTCAGAAGAGACTTCTTTGCGCCCCAATCCTGTACTGGGGAATGCTAGTTGTTGGAAGTTTTTAAATGATTAGGACCGTTGCCAAAGCTTTCCTTAGCTCAACCAATTTTTGGTTAGCCCAAAAGAGCTTTGCAAAGGCTTCAAAGGCTTCTAGTTTAACAACCTTGGTTTGGCCAAGTCAATGCTAACTTTCTGATTGGTTAGGTTAGCATGCATGTTGTGAATATGCATGTGTATAGCTGCGTTAATCTATTGCAGTAAACAAGAAAACATTCTTAATGCGGTTTTGTATTACTTAGACCCGTCATGGGAAACTTTGGCCCTCCAGGTGTTTTGAACTTCAACTCCCAACTCAGGGTCTTTTCTTAGAACTGTTGATTCATGGCTGAAGGTTGATTTCAGTAGCAATTTATAATTTTTTTGTGTGTCAGGAGCAACTTGAGAAACTTCTGGTGTGAGAGAATTAGCCATCTGCAAGGACATTGCCCAGGGGACGCCCATATGTTTTGATGTTTTACTATCCTTGTGGGAGGATTCTCTTATGTCCCCACATGGGGAGCTGGAGCTGACAGAGGGAGCTCATCTACAATCCTCCTGGATTTGAACCTCCGACCCGTCGGTCTTCAGTCCTGAAGGCACAAGGGTTTAATCCAGCATTTCTTGACCTGGGAGTCAGGACCCCTGGGGGGTCGCGAGGTGGCGTCAGAGGGGTCGCCAAAGACCACAAAAAACACAGTGTTTTCTGTTGGACATAGGGGTTCTGTGTGAGAAGTTTGACCCAATTCTATCATTGGTGGGCTTCAGAATGCTCT